GCTCAGCCAATGCGTGTCCCATCGATGAAAGCAAATGGTAATCGGAAGGAGCCAAGTCTGGTGAATACGGCGGGTGGGGTAGCAGCTCCCAGCCAAGTGTTTTGATTGCATCCTGAACCCGTTTTGCTTTGTGTGCAGGTGCATTGTTATGGAGCAGAATTATCTTGATCAATGCATGGTTCAAATTTATCATTTGTTGTTCATAGCGACCAGCATTGACGGTTTCACCAGGTTTTAGGAGCTCGTGGTACTCTACACCTCCTTATGTATGCAAAAGCATACATAAGTTAGTATGTGTTAGAGTAATAAGGACTTTGTGATAGACATGGTAAGTTTGCGCACAATTGCTCATTTATTAATCGTCAAAAAAACATAGATTACATTATTATTATCTATACATACATAATATTAATATACAAGAGGGTATGTTCTTCTTAAGTATCACCACTACTCACCACTGTTCTTTTTAGAAGAAACATTTTTCTTTTTTTTTAAATATTCTTCTTATTGGCTGTACAATGGTATAAGTGTAAAAAGTTTTTCCTTTCACTTTAAATCTGCATTATTAAATTCCTGTTTCATCTTTCCTAACTTAAAATTTACTTTAAGAATATATATATATAGAGGTATATATATACATATCTTTAATATTATGCATTAAGGACAATCTTTGATGTATATGGTTTTAGTATTTGTTAGCATTTTTTATATATAAAAAACAGAGGAAACAAAATAAGAAAATATAAAAAATATAAATCTTTATATTTTATATTTTCGCTTTGACATTAATAAAATGAACCAGCTAGCGCTTTAGAGTAAATTTCCATTTTTAATGTCAGGTGGTAAAAGAGAAAAATAAAAAATGATATATTTTCATATAAAAATGAAAAGTGTCAGCCAGGATAAAGGAATAAACATCGGCAACCACAAAAATGAATGACACATCCCTGTGCAAACCACTCAGTGAAAACATGTCAGTGCATGTTTCACATTCTTAAAAATTCCTTTGGTGCGTTGCGATTTTATGGCATTTAAAATTTTAACAAAATAAATAAAATATTATTATTATAAATAAATGAAGAGAAGTACACAAAAAAAAATATTTAATAAATTGTTAAAAAAGTAATGAAAAAAGTAATGAAAATACAACAGAAACAACGAAATAAAAGTGCGATTGCATCTCATAAAAAAATTTAATCCGGTTTCTTGTTGCATATCCTGCAAAACCGCTGATTGCTTCGGCATATATATATATATATATATATATATATATATATATATATATATATATATATATATATATATTATATATATATATTTGCCGGTCATGTATATGCATATTCTTAAGTGCATAATATTTGCGTGCCAGAAATTGCAACGTTTTATTTGCACATCCTTTTCATTGCTGTGCATACGCTTCTACCTTGCATTTTGTTATTATTTCTTCTTCGCAAAGAAAGTGCATTTTTGTATTAAACAAAATATTTGCATGCACAATTTATATGTGGCGAAGTACAACGGTGCGTATGATGAACATACAGGGTAACAACAATCTGAAGAGTTCTAGTTTAGTATTCGATCGCATGCAATATAATTTTTATAGAGACGTTTCGAACAGTAGTGAATTGCAACAACAAAACATTTTTTTATTTTTTTTTTTTTGATATAAAATTTGATATTAAATTTTTATGATTTATAAAATATGAAAAATAATTTCAAGAACAATGATGATCATTGTTTGGGAATACTGGAAGCATCTGTATGGTCAGTCAAAAATTAAATTAATTAAAAATAATAATATAAAAAAAATTTGCTGTTGCAATCCACTACTATGAGAGACTATACTACATACAAAAGTTAGTATTAAGTAACAGTCACTGTCTTCATAACGGAGATTAAAATCAAATTTAATATAACATATAATTTAGATATATAGTTTGTATTAGAAAATACTTTAGCTAAAATATATGCTTCATAAAGAAACTACTTCACCCATAGTGAAATCGTAACATTCAATAATAAACCTCAAAGATTAAATATATGCTTTCTTTGCATTGAAAATTTAGTCAGTAAAGTTGCAATGTGATTGTATGTACTGAATTTAGCTGCTCTACATAGCACTATCTAATCTTACTAGCAGTTAATAGCCGTACAGTTTGATATGCAAATCTTAGATCAGTCATGGAAAAGTCAGTGAAGCTTCAGTCAGTGAAGCTTCAGTCAGTGAAGAGAACGGAGAGACTCTGTAGAAGACCCTCAGCTAAGAAAGAGTAAAAGTGCCCAGTTATACTAACTCGGAAAAACCTCAATATAAGACATATAAATTACTTGAGAACAGTTTTCTATATTTTTGATAACAGATACTTTTAATTTTTTCCAATTAGAACTACGAGTTTACGACGACTACCTCATTTCAATGAACCACAAACTACACAAACTCACGATATTGATATAATTCAGCGACTTTACTGGCTTGATTATGTTGTGAGTAGCGATGACGATGATCCAACGAAAAAGGTGTCTGCAACGGTAGTTACAGGAAAAGGCGTAGAGGTAGACAATATCTTCGGTGGTGTATTCAAGTTAAAGGACCACTAACCGCACTTGATGTACAAAACTGGAGAAGAAGCGCACGCAGTAGAGTAAATAGTAGAGGAATGTTACGGTAACGGATTGTTATAGACATTTAAGTAAGTATATAGTACTATTATGTGCCAATTGGTATTATTAGGTAACATATACTAATGGTTAACATTAATGGAAAGAAGCCATAAATCAATTGGACCCAAGTTGGCACATTTCTTAGGGCATGATAATAGATGATCTATGTAAAAAGGAGCAGACCCATACTTATAGCACTTATTGGGAAGTATACATACGTCTATACATATGTAGCTCTACCATAAACTTTACTGGGCAAAGAGAGTTCTTGTTGCGAGAAAAAAGCAACTTATTTCTCTAAACATTTCAGGCGGAAAATATAAAGAATCTCATTGTCATACAAACGTGGTCTCAAAATGTTAAGAGCGGATATACTCATTCATACTCAAACTAACTGAACATTTTTCGATAATTCATGACATAAAAAAGGAATCGACGTATAAAACATTAACTAAACGAAAGGTCTACACTATAAGGACGCTATAAGAATTTCATATGTACTACATGTAAGGAGAAATTGTTCGGATCAGTTTTGAAAGTTGTCAGGTCTACGTCCCGGAACTACAGATCAATCTAAACAACTAAGTGTCAGTTGCTTTTAAAAAACCACATGGTTAGTATTGATTACTGCTTTTGGTAATTCATTATTTTTGGCCCATTTTTTACCGGTCATAGTATAAAAGTGGTCTTAAGATCTTTTCAAGAACATACAAGAATGTGAAAAAATAACTACCAATTGCATTTCATTGAGAAAATTAGGCTGATAAGCACAGAATAGTTAAACTACAAGCAGGTTTATATTTCCGAATACAAAAACAACAACCTGGGAAACATGTTTTAATGGTTACAGCCATTAAATATTTAGTTCTTTACAAACATAAAAGTTTACGTACTTTAATATTTTAGAAAGTTTTTTTTTATCTTACATTTCTAACCCTGTGTATAAATAACCATAACTTTGAATGTTAGTGTTTTCACAGAAGTGCATTTATTAATTTTACACATACTAGGGGGGTGGGTTTCCCCTCGTATAGTGCACTTTATTATTTGATGTTTTGGTCTTTAAATGCTTTTACTCTTTTTTATGTCAGCACTTGAATTGACAATTTAGCTTTGTGCTACCTTAATTTGTGTATGGGTTTATGGGTCAGTTTCGGTGTACAGGTCTTTTTATTTTTTTCAAATTTTAATTAAAAATGTACACAGAAAAGAAATACAGTTAATATAGAAAACCAAACTAAAGTAGGCTGGCTTTTAAGCATTATAAAGGTTTATTTAAAAAGGTGAGTGAACATTCATATATAATTTTTAAACTATTTTAAATGCACCGAATGAGCAAAATGTGACCCATTTCCAAGTGGGTAGTGTAAAAACAAAAAGGACTAGATTTTATATTATTTTAATGAGTGTTATATTTAAAAAATGTTGGAAATCTTATATCCAAAAACTTTAAATTTAAATAAAGAAATTTTAGTAGTAATTTATTGATTTAAATGAAATAGAGGAAATGTAATCTAAAACAAAAATAGGGATTGAAAATATAACCAAATGCAGATTGAATTCTTATGTTTTCAAAAAAAATTTAGAGATACGCTAATCTATCATCTTTTTAAATGTCTTCTTACATAAAAAACAGCTGCAAATGTATAAACTGATTACCCGTGAAAATAAACTTGTCACACTACAAGGTAACATCGACTAAAAATATGCCATAGAATGAACTCTTCCAAATTTAACAAGGTCTAGTGCTCTAATGCTAAATAACTAATGTATATTACTACATATCATTGCTTGATAGAAGTACATGCGAATCTGAGGTCCATTATTGCCTAGGCTGATGAAGTGATAAACAATACTCTAGTCAAGGTGTAAAGAGGGGTTTTAAAAATATTTCGAGTTAAGAAAGAGTAAAAGTGCTTAAGTGCACTGGCTCAGAACTGCTTCAACATAATAGATTAGATACCATTAGTAAAGATTTCAGCAGAAGAGGTCATGACATGGTGTAAAGAAAAACATTAAATATTTAAGTACAGTGTTATTGTTTAGGTCTTTGTATACAAAGAGTTAATCCAGAAGATATCTAGTTTTTATAATTATTAACATATAAGTTCTATTGTTGGAATTAAAAAAAAATATGAGTGCTTGAGAAGATAGATGTAAGTCTGTTCCCAATGAAATCACATTGCATTCAAACTTACTTCAACTCAAATATTTTTGTTTTTTCTGTGGTTACGATAATGATTGCTAATATGAAATGGGTTATCAAGTATTATGAATTCTTCAGCTATTGAATATTATTATTCAATATTATTATTCAAATTATTATTCAAATTACTTACCCAAACTCCACATATCAATAGCTGTACCATATTGAAGACCCAATATAACTTCTGGTGAACGATAGAAACGTGATTGTATGTAAGTGTAAATCTTACGGTTAACATAACATGAACTTCCGAAATCTATTACTTTGATTGAGCTGCTGCCGCGTTGTTTCAAGAGTATGTTTTCCTGTAAGAAAACGGATGTAGTTTATACAAGTCAATCAATCATATTTCCAGTACTTACCGGTTTCAAATCACAATGTATGATATTCTCTTTGTATAATAAACGTAAACACTTAACAATTGAATTACAAAAACGGCGTATTAGACTCATGCTGAAACCATTATAGTTATTCTTTTTGATTAATTCATACAAATTAAGACTGAAAATAAAAACAAGAAAATATATATTAATTTTATTGTATAAAATATATATTAATTTCATGGTATAAAATATATTTTTGTAGATATACATATATTTGATTAATAAGACCCAGTTGGAAAAGTGGTCTCGTAGACATTGTTTTCAAGACAGTCTTTGATACTACGATCGGAGGTATAAGCGAATTTGCAAAAAAAATTGCCCAAAACGAGAATGTAAAAAATTTCTCTGTTGTTTACTCTCTCATTTGTAGTGTTCACAGAAACCTATGTCACTAGACCTTTATTATTATCAGTGCCAATAAGCATTTTGTGAGATAAAATTATCTATTCCATACACATTTTTTTAATTTAATTTAAAACTAATTTATTTTTATAAATAAATTTATTTACTAGATAGTTATTAAATTATCTAAATATAATGTATAAAATATGTCCATAAAATAAATAACGAAAACTAATTACGTACAAATTTCTCTCTAAATATTTATAGAGAAACAAAATTTACATTTTAAAGAGCACAAAAAAGAGAAAAACTGCGGCCAGAATAGTCCTATTGTACCAATTACACTATTGAGTACACAAAGCTCTTTAAAGTTTTGTGAACAAAATCTAGAACTGTATCTAGAGAAGCGCTCTTAATCTCCTCTGGTGATATAAATTCCATATGAAACAGGTTTCTTCTGTGCGTTATTAAAGCTGGACAGTCACAAAGAATGTGCAAGGTCGTTTCCTTATCTTTGAGGCATAATCTCCATTCCGAGTTAGTTAGTAATGAAACCCGTTATCAACCTTAAATTACATTTTGAGAATTTAAGAATGTTTTTGTAGGAGTACGGTGTTAACAGTGCTTTGCTCTGTCTGAGTCCTGGAAAGTTTTCCCAGTACTCCAACCGCATATGATTTTCCCTTTCCTTGATAATCTGTTTTGTATGGGCCTAGTTTATTCCACAAAAAGGTTGAGGGCCTATAAAAGCAGTTTGTGATGCAGTTCTGGCTAGTTCATTAGCTTTTTCATTTCAAAAAACTCCCCTGTGGCCCGGAACCCAGTAAAGGCTTACCTTAATCCGAGCTGCAAATAGGCTTAAGATTTTATTTTAAACAAAAATGTTGCAAAGAGTCATGACACACTAAATCTTTAAGAAAAATTCTTTTCCAAAAGAAACATTAAAAATTTGGATGAAAATAAAAAAGGTAATTCGCTAATGGTCTTATAACAAAGTCTTTGTTTGTCATATTGAAAAAGAAAATTCAAAAAGCTTCTAAAAGAACTCCGTAAGGTTTCATTCCATTCAACTGTAGACGATTCTTAAAACACTACTACATATTGGTCTACAAGAGAAATAATAGAAGAGATAAATAAATAAGGTACCGACTCCTAATGGAGCGAAGCACCGCGACCATAGTTGATCTTTTGTACTTCATTTGGTCTACAATAGAAATGCTTAAATAAATATGGATTGAACTCATAGATACTGCAATATTAATATTATTTGCGATACTAATTAAAATTGTATCTCATTTTTAAAACAAAATTTTTGTTATCGTCCTAAACAATTAATAAACCTCGGCTTCGTTGTAACAGACACTGACACTGTCTATCACTAACTTCTTTATTATGGAAAATTACGGACTTGGAAATGAAAATTAAACTGGAAAATGTTAGTTACCAAAGTTATTTTCAGTTGTTACCAAAAACGTTATTATTGACGCAATATTTGTTGATAAACGCAAGCAAACTCTTTAAAATTTGCTTAATCCTTGAGCAAAAACTTGTGCTGTGACGCACTGCTTAAACAACTAATAAATTACACAGACGTCACTATTTAACAAATTATAGAAAAGTTGATGCGAATTTATTTTAGTATAATTTTTACACTACTAGTTAAGAGGAAAGGAGGTTAAAGTTAGTGTCAATCGGCGAAATCTGGATAGTTAATGTTTGTATATGAATGATGAAAGTAAAAGGTACTGCTGATGAAGGTACTGCTATTTTGGCAGTATTCGCAACACTTTTAGTTTAAAAAGTTGATACAAGTATAAAAGTATTTGAGAAGGTTTGAAATAAAATATTCATAATAAGATATGCAATTCTATTAAAATACATGTGGATATATGAAAATGTCCCAGCAATTAAAATAATTTTTGATAATTTTTTTAATCGGCCGACTTTAAGTGTTGATAATAAATACGCCGTTAGATCCGATTTTAAAAATTCGTATAACATATTCATATTAGATAAATCACTACAAACGTAACTGTATTAGTTTAGTTAATGAAGCCTATACTGACCATATTGCTTACTAATGTTACGAAAAACAACATATGATGTTAAAGGGATCAACAGTATTCTGTGCATGACTACCGAAGCCCAATTACAAATGTTAACAAATTTAAACAGATAAGCCACTTTGAATAGTTGGAGAACAAGAAATGAATATAGCAGAATATTCAAAGCAAAAATGTTCAAAGTATGTAAAAATAACTGTATACAAGTTGACCAGGCTTTGAAACCTGGATATGTCAATAACGACTTATTAAGTTACAGTCTAAGGGACACATATTGAAAACATAAAAACTGAACATTGATATTAAAAACATTAACCAACTTTGACGTAATATTCGAAAATTATATGAAGCAACTATGTTATAATGAAAAAATAATGAAAAAGCAAACTCAAAAGATACTTTCACATTTGAGATACATACATTAATACTGTGTCTCAAAATAAGAAACTTATTACAGTAATCCCCCTTATAACGCGATAGATTGGTTCCGCATTATACGGGAATTTCCGTATTGAGACGTGCGAAGATATGCGAAGCTAATTATGAACTGTACAAATCCCCGTGTTATATGGAGGAATGCACGTCTAATACGGGCATAAGGGTACCGCGTTATAGTGGGGATTACTGTATTTTATATTTCCTATAGATTTTCATTCAAGATGACTAGGTAGACATATGTATGTATCTCATTTCATATGACCGAAGGCGCAACAATTTATTTTTGTCCTTTAGTCGAATTCAAAAATGTGATGCCTCAGACTTTAAATGTTTGTGTGTGCATTATTTATCTAACCTTCCTAAGTAAATGTTAATTTATTTTTATAAATAACATAGTAATGAACATATATACATTAACTTTTATGTTTTTTTACTGTAGCACATATTTAGACGCGGTACATTTTAAATTATTATTAGACATGCAAGGAAAATTAAGGCATATTAAGTGTAGTTTTGTAAGCTAAAAACAATTCGTGGAACCTACAATTTCTTAATTCTTTTTATACATATATAATTTGTATATAGTAATATTTTATTAAACAATTATTTGTGCTTACTACTGACAGGAACAAACAATAACAACAATAAAGTTTGTGTTTAACAATGTAAATTTCTATAATTTATATAACATAATATAATATATAATTAAATTTAAGTTAAAATAAATATAAAAGAAAATGTTATAAAGAAAATAAAAACATTATATTATTGTTATTTTATATATTATGTTCTATAATAACAAGAACAATTGGAGTACTGAACTAGAAGAGAGTAGCAGAAGATCGGGACAAATGGAGGCAAATTGTGAGGGAAGCCAAGATTCACACTGGACTGTAGTCCCAAATAAGAAAAAGAAGAAGGAGAAAAATAACAAGGAATCCATTTTGAATAGAAAATAGGATAATATTTACTTTCAAATCTAAAAGTTTTTAATTTTTATAATTTTTAATATCCATCATCAGTGGTTTTTGAAAATATCTAATGGCTTAGTTGTACGTAAAAACCAACCATTTATATCGTATAAATATAGATCATAACCAAACCAGCAATACAAATAGATTAACTACTTTTCTGCTTCTTGATTGCAATTTGATGTTGCGGAAACGAAACAGCTGATAAAAGAAGGGTGCCCGCCCTAACTGCATTTATAATATCAGAACCATTTTTCAAGATACCTAGCAAAAAAGATGAAGATGAAGATTCAGTACTCAGAACTATCATCTAACTAATTATCTCAGAAAGTTTGGGTCAATTCGAAAAGCTTATTATAACAATATAAACATTTTATTTGACTGTTCAACAAAAATTTTAATTCATTTTTGAGGCTAAATGCATCTAAACACAGATTAATCACTCGTTTCTTAGTGTATTAGTGTATATACCTTCAAACTACCATCATGCAAAGATCTGGTGATTCATTCACCCATATTATTTGCTTATCATGTGATAAGATGTGAGGTTTAAAAACTTTAGTCAAGAAATATATTTAGGTTTATCAGTTGCGTTAAACTGATAACACTATAGTCTTTATTAATAGTTAATAGTTAATATATTAACTATTATACATCGTGGAGCACAAATGTGCTTTGTAATGATTAATTATAATCTGAATATCAATAACCTTAATATTCTTAATATCACGTTAGCTAATGAAACAAATGCCATTAAACTTTTTGCAGAGAACTCTTTGTTCTCACATATCGACTATATGAGTATGCTAAAATATTTACTATGAATGAGATAGATTGGTTATATCTTATAGGTCCCGTAAAAAAATATATCTAAAATAAGTTTTATGCTGTAAATGTAATTGCATAGAAGATTTAAATTTGAAATCACATTTTTATAGTTGAAAAATTTATTCAATTATCCAAGTATAATAAATAAATGATTTATAATAAAAACTACCAACACCGCGTTATCAAATCTCAAAATGGTTACAGACTCCTTGGGGAGGTATGCAGATCTGAGGTCAATTATTGCTTAGTCTGATGAAGTGATAAACAATAATCTAGTCAAGGTGTAAAGAGGGGTTTTGAAAATACCTCGAGTTAAAAAAGACTATAAGTGCTTAAGTGCACTAGCTCAAAACAGCTTCAACATAATAATAAAAACTACATGTTCGAATGGTGGTATTGAAACATCAACAAGACTAAAGCCAACTTTTTCTTAAATTAATTTTTCAACTTTTCCATATTTACTTGAATTGTGTCCT